GTGAGATCATCAGAGGTGAGATCATCAGAGGTGAGATCATCAGAGGTCCAGCACAGGCTGAACAATGGGGAGATGAAGTTGGAGAGGACACACTGAGATGGTTTGAAAAGCATGGAAAACAATTACAAACCCTATTTTTATTTTATAAAATGAGCTATAAGAATTATTAGTAGGAAGTGCTTTGGTCACCCAACAAATATATTATTTCATCAGTTGAAATGATTAAAATTTTATGATTTGGTTGAATATAGTATTTTACAAGTCATGTATGAAGCTCATGAAAAATATTACCCACAAATATTCAATTAAAATTATTTTTATAAAGAGAGTCATTTTAATTTTAAGGGAATGTAAATGTTTGTAGAACTGGTGTGAAGGAGCTGCGTTCAGGGAACAGGATGTAGAATTGTCTTGATATCACCATAAACATTTATAAAACAATTTATATGTTTTAAAAGATGATTAAGTTAAAATAGTTAGGAAAGTATGATACCATGTGAAGAATGTCTGATGTTTGGTTTGTCGTTATTTTATATTTTTATATTCTTTCTGCACCCTTTTCATTCAGTTTTTTGTTATTTTTGATGACTTTGTTTTGTTTGTTTTAAACGAATGAATAAATAAATGAATAAATTAATGAATAAATAAGGGCAGCACGGTGGCGCAACTGGTAGAGCTGCTGCCTCTCAGCGAGCAGGTCCTTGGTTCAAACCCCGGTCCAGGGGCCTTTCTGGGTGGAGTTTGCATGTTCTCTCCGTGCATGCGTGGGTTTTCTCCGGGTGCTCCGGTTTCCTCCCACAGACCAAAAACATGCATGTTAGGCTGATTGGTAACTCTAAATTGTCCCTAGGTGTGAGTGAGAGAGTGAATGGTTGTTTGTCTTGTTTGTCTCTATGTGTCCCTGTGATGGACTTTGTACCCCGCCCCTCGCACAGTGACTGCTGGACATGGGCACCAGCGACCCCCGTGACCCAAAATGGAATAAACGGGTAAAGATAATGGATGGATGGATGGATGGATGAATAAATAAATAAATGAATAAATGAATAAATAAATGTCCAGAGGAGGGGACATTGGGGATATCGGTAGAAGGATGTTAGAAATGCAGCTGCAGGAAAAAGACAAAGAGGAGACACGTGATGCAGTTAGAGAAGACAGTTGGAGTGAGACAGAGGACACAGAGGACAGAGTGAGACAGAGGACAGAGTGAGACAGAGGAGGACTCGCTGTAGTGACCCCTGGAGAGGGAAAATCTGAACGAAGAAGAAGAAGAAGACTTCTGGAGCTGATCTCAGGACCTAGGACCCACAGAGACACCCAGACCGCAGCTTTGGAACCACGAGTTTAAAATGAAAAACATTTTTAAAAGCTGGCTGAGGTGAGTTGTTGTTACCTTGAATATAAAAACTTAAATGTTGTTTTGTTGTAAAGTTTTCTTCCTGTTTGGGTTTACTTCAGTAGATTTATTTTAAAGTCTCAGATTTTTCAGTAGTTTTCGTCAGATTCTCATCATGGTTGTGTTTAATTTTAAAGTATGATTTGATCAAATCAGATGAAAGCTGCGTGTCGTGTCAGACCTTGTCAGGACGATCGTCTTTCCTCTCAGGTCTGCTGGACTCGGCGTGTCTCTCCCTCTGAGCTTTCCTCTCCTGCGCAGAGAAAACACGACAAAGTCACGGTGATAAAACCCACCTGTGGTCCGGTTCGGTCCGATGTGCAGGTGTGTTCGTGAGCGCGACACCTTCAGGGTCTCGTAATGTGACGTTCTGGAGACGTAATCGTTCCAGGACGTGTCTGTGAGCTCCTGCTGCTTCCAGTGAGACTTCATCTGTGATCAGCCAAAAAGAAATCACTGATCTGAGTCTGAAACAGGAGGACGTGTTTCTCCTCTCAGCACCTCCTGGTAAAGCAGCAGCTCCTCACTCAGCTCCTCTTCCTGCTGCAGCTCCAGGATGATGGTTTGCTCCATCGCGGTCCTCCTCGCCGTGTCCTCCGACATCCCGCAGACGGAGCTCAGGGCGTCCTCATCAGGGCTGACGGGCCTCACGCCGTCCAGGCTCAGGTCCCGGCGGACCTCGTCCCAAACCTCGCCGACCTGCAGCACCGACAGAGAACACCCGGCACAAACGTCACTGGCAGCTGGATTTAAAAGATTAAAACTCTTTAAAACTCCTTCAGAATAAAAGCAGTCTGATCAACTTTATTTGGACAACTTTTATGTCCCGCTCTGACACATTTTATCCCTGAAAGGAAAAGGCAGAGGGTTGTTTCTACACATGCCTGCGTCTGTTAGCAAAATACCTCATGAACCAGCAAACGACCGCTGAACGTTTGGAGTCAGCTCAGTTCAACATGGCTGCTGCAGGCGGCTGAACGTTTGGAGTCAGCTCAGTTGAACATGGCTGCCGCAGGTGGCTGAACGTTCAGAGTCAGCTCAGTTCAACATGGCTGCCGCAGGTGGCTGAACGTTTGGAGTCAGCTCAGTTCAACATGGCTGCCGCAGGAGGCTGAACGTTTGGAGTCAGCTCAGTTCAAAATGGCTGCCGCAGGCGGCTGAACGTTTGGAGTCAGCTCAGTTCAACA